ATACGGCATTGCTCCTGTTTCAGTGCGCGTTCTCGGGGTTCATCATGTGCAAGGCCATGGCGAGCACCGAAGCCCAAGACGTGTCCGAAGCCTATGAGGAGTGCGTGTTCCGGAGGTTCGGAGCCAGTGAAATGATCCGTCATGACCGAGACCCGCGCTTCATGGGTCGGGTGTTCAAACACTTTCGGGAGATGCTCGGGAGCAGGCAACGCGCCACTCTAGCCTATCGCCCCCAGGCCAACGGCCAACAAGAGAGGTCTGTGCAAACGGTGATCCGGAGTGTTAAGGTGTACGTGCAGACTGTGCGACCAAAGCGACTGGGATGAGCTAGCCGACAAGATCATGTGGGCGCTGAACCCCTCCTTCGACTTCACCCGACTCGACACGCCGTTTTACCTGGTGCACGGTTGGGATGCCCAAGGTACCGTCGAAGCCATGATGGGAGACGTTCCCCGAGACGTGCAGCTCCGGGACGCCCAAGAATGGCGCACCAAGGTACAACGCCAGGTGGAATACGCGAGAGGACCTCCAAGAAAAAGCCAAGAAGTGCCGTGCCGAGGACCATAACCGCAAGTGGAAGCAGCTTACAGACCGACTGAAAGAGGGTTTCGAGGTCGGGAATTCAGTATGGTTGTACCTAGCCCGAGTCCGTCCTGGACTCACCAAGAAGCTCGCACACCTCTGGCACGGCCCGTTCCGGATCAGGGAAAATGGTAGTGATTTCCGATACCGCCTCCAGGTCGAGGGTACGGAATACAGGTTTCACCCCTGGGTCCACGTCAGCAGGTTGAAGCCCCGAGCCAAGTACCCGGAGCGGCCCTCGGAAACCATGGACATCCCCGAGGACGATGATTTCGACGCCGGGTTGCTCCGCGCAGACAGTTGGGAATCTGATGGGGGTTCCGGGGAATACGGGGTCGAAGCGATATTCGACGTGCGCTGGATCACCCGGACCCGCACCAACCGGCGCGTCAAGGAACATCTAGTAAAATGGAAAGACTACGAGGCTCCAGATTGGATTCCCCAAGGACGTCTCAACTGCGGAAGGCTGCTCTACGAGTTTGACCAAGGAGAGCGGGCCCGCGTGCGTTTCCAGGCCATGCAGTCTTGTGACGAGCTCCCGGACGAAGAAGTCCGGTAGAGCCCTGGGGCGTGGACCCGGAGCCTACTACAGTAGTAGGCCCTGGAGTGTCCCCCAGGGACCCTATGTTCCCGGGTGAGAATACTCCCCAGAACATAGATGAAGTGCATGTTTCCTGGGGCGTGGACCCGGGGCCCACTGCCAAAAGTGCGCCCTGGCGTGTCCCCCAGAAGCCTTGTGTCCCAAGACGAGAATACTCTCTGGGACACAAGTGATTGCATATTTGCATGACACATACATGTTATCAAAAGAAGGACATGAAGACTTGAACACGAACAGACAAGACCAAGGCGAAGACAAACTCCGCGGTGTATTGAAGAGCTTAAGGCCTCAGGGGCCTGGGGTAGAACATTTAGTCCACGAACTCTGCAGGCAAGTCATCTGGAAGAGCGATGAAGGCGCGGTCGTCAGGGTCGCCGACCACAGTTCCCCAAGTGGCTGGGGACACGCTTTCTGGGAGCCGCGAAGTCGAACCCGGAAGCCCCCAGTAGACGCGAGCTGGGTCGCGGCGGTCCAGTGCCCGAAGCTGATCACGGAGAGGTGGGGTGTGGTCGCCACGTGGCAGTGGGACCCACGCGACTGGGAGTCTGGGATGGCGCCAGAGCCCAGGCTCGCAACGAAACAACTTCCGCTCCCGCGCCGATAGCAGGGCTATCTTGACCCGCAACTTTGTCAGCTCCTTGTACCAAAGCCTCTGGCGAGAGGCACGGTCCAGGTACACTTGCTTCTGCGCTTCGTTGGAACGGCGGAACACCACCCAGGGGTCGCGCTCCCACTGAGCCCGGCGATGCACGAACATGAGTAACACATACTCCGAGGCGTGGACCATGATGTCGTCACTGAAGCCCCCGGGGCATTCCTCAGAGACCTCCTTGCAGGCGAACCAGAACACCTCTTCTCAGTTCCGGAACATCGTGTCCCAGGGGGCGTCTTCCCCAGGTGTCACGTGTGGAACGGATGGACACCGTCTTGGGAACCGTTCCGAGT